CACACACACACACACACACACACACACACACACACACACACACACACACACACACACACACACACACACACTTTTAATTTAAGGAACGTCTTTAACATTATGGTGTCTCAGAGATTCCTGAGAATCTGTTATCTGAAAACTCTAAGAAGCCCCATTGTAGCAATACTTTGGCCAGGGAAAGGATTAATTTATGCATAGCTACTGTTGGAAGACAAGTCCTTGGACATTTCTTTGCAATTCCATCAGGCCTAGGATTGGATGTAAAATCTGATTATGTTGTAGAGTGAGATAAACTTCTTGAGACCAACACTGAGGCTGAGATCAGCACTGTATTTCCCTTCTGCCTTTCCTTCCCCCAAAAACCAGCAATTAAAAAACAAACTAAACCCCCAAGCATCTAGTATATAAAGACCGCACTGACCACAATAGATGTAGAAATGGCATAATCTTGTCCCATCCAACTGCCACCACGGCCACCACAACTTGCTGTTGCAAGTGGCAGAGGCTGGCACATTGGGTATTGGCTCCACATAAATTTGGGCTATGGAATCAGAACTAGCAGGCATTTGGTTCTGAACACTTCTCCATTAAACTGGGCATAGAAGCCTTATGGACGGTATATATTGAAAGGGACACTGTTATGAGGTAGAAAAAAGGGTGACAGTTCTAAATTAAGCAAGCTTGAAACTCTTGCAAATGAAGGTTGCTTTTCTTTTTCCTGCAGTTTTGAGATAAGAGATGAGGGTTGCAGGAGGAAAGTTTCTATGTTTTTGTTACGGGACAGCTTCCTGATTATACCTCTGGAGAGAAAATTGGGTACATGGGCTCCTGAAGTTCTATTTTAAGTTGGTTCATTTTGTTGCTCATTCAACAGTCATCACTGGGTTGGGCCCTGGGGCAATGGTGATGACTGGCACGGGGCCTGTAGCAGCTGGAGTATAGGGGGGAAGGCGGATTGGAAAAAGTAATTAATTTGTAGTATGAGAGGCCTATGAGTAGGGAGATTTGGAGGTCAAGAGAGATTTTTCCACAGGGGGGAAAAAAAAAAACCCATCAAATTTAAGTTCCCAGGCTACCAACCAAAAGCTAATTTTTACCTTTGATATTATCAGTAATAATAATAAAACCCAAAACCAAACCCATTGCCGTTGAGTCAATTCTGACTCATAGTGACCCTATAGTGATAATAGCCAAGCTTTATTGAGCCTTAATAAGTTTCAGACAGAATTCTAAGCCTTTAATTTACCTAATGCTTTTGACAACCCTACCCATTATCCGTTGCCATCGAGTCGATTCCTACTCATAGCGACCCTATAGGAGAGGGTAGAACTGCCCCATAGGGGTTCCAGTGAGCACCTGGTGGATTTGAACTGCCGACCTTCTGGTTAGCAGCCATAGCTCTTAACCACTATGCCACCAGGATTTCCTTAACAACCCTATCGGTGGTTCAGTGGTAGAATTCTTGCCTTATGTACGGAAGACCTGGGTTCCATTCCTGGCCAATGCGTCTCATGGGCAGCCACCACTTGTCTGTCAGTGGAGGCTTGAGTGTTGCTATAACGTTGACTAGGTTACAGTAGAGCTTTCAGACTAGGAAGAAAGGCCTGGCAGTCTACTTTTGAAAAGCAGCCAATGAAAACCCAATGGATTACAATGGTCTGATAATGCAACTGATCATCGGGATGGCACAGGACTGGGTAGCACCTCGTTCTGTTGTGCATGGGGTCACCATGAATCAGGGAGACCCAACGGCAGCTAACAACAACATGAGGTAGTATTATTATCTCTGTTTTTATAGATCAAGAAACAGGCATGAAGAAGTTAAGTAAACTGCCCAGATAGTGCTCCTGCAGAGTCAGCTATCTATCCTTTTAAAAGAAGGGAGTGGTTAAACACAGCTTGCTTAATTTGTGTATATAAACCCATTGCCATCAAGTCAATTTTGACTCATAGCAACCCTATAGGACAGAGTAGAACTGCCCACAGGGTTTCCAAAGCTGTTAATCTTTATGGAAGCTGACTGCCATATCTTTCTCCCATAGAGCGGCTAGTGGGTTTGAACTGCTGACCTTTCAGTTAGCAGTCAAGTAGTTAACCACTTCACCACCAAGGCTCCTAATTTGTGTACATAAGCTCCTAAATTAGAAACCTTCTTTGGTGCTGTATGTCATAGTTAATCAGAACACATGAAATTTAATGATATCAATTTCTTAATCTGTTTCCTCCTTTTTACTCTAAGTTCCTTGAAAGCAGAAACCTTATCTTGTTTACCAAATTTTATTAAGCCTTATTAATTCCCGGACAGAATTCTAAGCCTTTAATTTATCTAATGCTTTCAGTAGCCCTATGAGGTAGTATTGGTGGTTCAGTGGTAGAATTCTTGCCTTCCATACAGGAGACCTGGGTTCAATTCACGGCATGTACCACGGAGATTTTTCCAAAGTATTTGTTGAATGAATTAGTAGATTCAGATTATTTCCTCATTGAGAGTGAAGACTCTTTGAGAACATAACTTTCCTGTAGTACATTTCCAGTGCTTTCCAAAAATTAGGTACTTAATAAATGTTTGGAGAATGAATGTACGAATGAAATTATTAAGGTTTTTGAATAGTGGACAGGACTGGCTTAATAATTCTAAAAGACTGTGTCATTTCTTGTAATAAATGGATTTTAAAAGTCCACTGTCCATTTAGTTCATTAGTTCCAAATGCTGTGACTTTGGCTTTTTCCAAGTTTATCTGCTTTCAGTGTTTTGCCAATTTAGCAGATGTTTTTAAATACATATAAAAGTTGCTGAGCATGCAAAAGGGGCAAGTGGGTAGAATGATTTACAATGGCTCTGACTTTGATTCGGAAAGTTTTTCTTGTTTATAGACAACAGTTTTAAATGCACAGGAACCAATCAATCAATCTCTGTGGGTTTTTTGTTTTGCTTTATTTTGCTTTATCCTGTCTTCTGTTTAACAAGATTTGGACCCTGATTATACACTGTTCAGTGGTAGAATTCTTGCCTTCCATATGGGAGACCCAGGTTTCATGACTGAACAGTGTACCTCATGTGCAGCCACTACCCATCTGTCAGTGGAAGCTTGTGTGTTGCTATGATGCTGAATAGGTTTCAGTGGAGCTTCTAGACTAAGATGAACTAGGAAGAAAGTCCTGGTGATCTTGTTCGGAAAAATCAGCCAGCGAAAGCCCTATGGATCATAATGGTCCAGTCTGCAACTGATCATGGGGATGGCGCAGGACCGTAGTATATCATTCTGTTGAGCATGGGGTCAGGGGCTGACCCGATGACAGCTAACAACAACAATTCCGTAGTGAACAGAGTTATGTTTAGCGTTGGTGCATATTGAACAAAATCTATAATAATTAAATATTGAAGTATGTAAAGGGTTTCATAATTAAGTGACCTCATTTGAAATTACCTGGGGACCTGAGGAAAGTGTGACAATAAGTTTCCAGAGCTGGATTTGTAACATATTTTCTGTCCCTGTGCGCTTCCATCAGTGCTATGATAGGAGTAGGTGTAAAAGTGAGATTCAAACTCCACTGCACCAACAAGGAGTTTGAAAACCCCCCTTGTAGATTCTACGCCTCCCTTTCATCTCTGCCTAATGCACATATGTATGTAAAGTTATAACCACACTTATATTCTTCTATCATGTAGAGGTAAAACATTTTCATTTTAAGAGAAGGCCAAGGTCATTAGTCGTTTGGGTATTATTGTGCAGGGGCGGATTACCCAGTAAGCAAGGTAAGCATGGCCTTACTTGTATGGATTTACTAATCTGTAGTGAACAGTTTCACATGTTTTTCACAAGTGAAACTGTTCGCTACAGATTAGCAAGTACACAAAAGTAAGGCCATGTTTATTTTGTTTCCTGGGTAGTCTGTCCCTGTCAGGGGTTGTAAATTTGAAAGAGACTTTGATCCTGTAGGAACGCACCGTGGGGTTGGGAAAGACACAGATGCCAGCCGTACCTAGAAGCAGAATCTTTGCTGTGGTGAAAAAAATGTGAAACTGTTCATTACAGATTAGTAAGTGAGCACAAGTTAAGACAGTGTTTACCTTGCTTATTGGATAATCTGCCCGTTACTGTAGATCCTGGGTCCTCTGCTTCTAGGCTTGCAGTACGGCTTATGGAAGAGCTTGGCTATTACCTGAGTTTGTACAGTGGGAGAGATTTTATTAGGAAAAGGAGAGAGAATCAGCATCCACCTTGGAATTAGGGACAGTCATAAACTGTGTAACATGAAGCAACAGCTGTAAGTGGCAAGCTAAGTTTACATTATGTGTGTTGACTCTCCCTGGGGTTGCATGTCTCCTCTGACACTCTCTAGCTTCCTCTGGAATCTTAGCCAAAGTGGGATTCTATGAGCTCAAATTTTGCAGTTTGGGACGTTTGAAATTCGCTCGGATTATGGTGCAAGATACGAAAGTAAGTTTTAGCAGATCTAAGGGGACACACCAGTTGTATCTTTACTTCCTTTCTAGAGTGTGTGCATAGAGGAATTTTGTCGCTTAAACTGAGATTATGGACAAATTAACTTTGGGAATATGTTTAAGTTCTCATTTGGCTTATTCGCGCCTATTTATCTGTAATAGAAGCTAGTAAAGGCTTAGCCTGTTAAGGTTGGCCTTAGCATTTTAGTTAGTACCCGTGATATTTAAATACATCTTGCCTATCTGAGCCACCATAGTTACACTGCCTTTTCACTTAATTAAGATATTAAACTAATAACACTTTCTGTTCAGTCCCAGAAATCCTGGATTGAAGGAGTATTCGACAAGAGAGAATGCAACAAAGTCATACCCAGCTCAAAAGACCCTCAAAGGTACAATTTTTAATTTAAAAAAAAAAAAAAAACACCTTTTTAAAAAGCAGCATTCTTTGGGGGACTGTTTGTGGAAACCTAGTTAGAGATTTGACTGGTTCGGGGATTTGATGATATCTATAAACGTAGTATTTATTTATTTTTAATCAATATATATTTTTTCTTTTTATAAATGTAATACATTGTCATTGTAGAAAATTTGGTAAGAACAGGGACTTAGTCAATTTTTATCTCTCTTTAACCTCAGTGTCTATGGCAGTGTCTTGCACATAGTAGGTGTCTGAGAAATATCTGTTGAATGAATTACTGAAGAAGAAAACAGTCAGTCATAATTATATCACCCAGTGGAGGTTCTGTTAACATTGTGGTGGATTTCTTTTCAGTCTTTTCTCTTTGATGCACTTGTTCTTCTTGATGGGAGTAGGGGGTAAGACATCAGGGAAATATATCTAGTGCTACATATATTCTGTGAGGTTTGGGTAAATAACTTTCAACTTCTGAGGGCTGACAATTCTTGTGAATGTTTCTTATCCCTAACTAAATGGTCTGTGGATCTGATGGCTGTTTGGGATACTTCAGGACACTGCTCAGATTATACAGACAGTTGATTTTAGTTCCAGTTTTCTCCCATAGGCTTTTCATATGAGCAGATAATGGGCAGCAAAATGGAATGATTTGAGTTTGAGTCCTCTGAGTTTTTGACAACCCTTTGGAAGCTCTGCTTGTAGAACAACGTTCAAAAAAGCAGCCAGTGAATGCAAGCAGAAGAAAGGGCCATGGAAAATACCCCACAGTAATCAGGTCTACGAAATTAGAATTTCGTGGTATTGCCCTTGCAAAAAAAGACAAAAACAAATAAAAAGGAAAAGAAAAATGAAGGGCAATATTTTAATTAGGGGAACCACTCTATTTTTATATTTGTTGAGCATTTGGCCTTATATTCATTTCAAGTTTAGAAATTACAACCTTATGATTATGAAGGGTAGGTTAGTGGGGTCCTTTAAATTTTAGTCCTTTGGGGATGATTAAAACAGTGTTCCTTCCCTTTGTTAAATATTTACTAGTCCCACCCTCATGGAATTACCTATGGTTTGTAAGCCCTGTGATTGGAAATTCTCATTTTACCTGTTTACAAAAAGTTTATAGAATGCCAAGGTAACCTTGCTTTTTTTCTTCATCTTTTATGACTCTTTGTAGTGTGATGGTGGCTGCAATGGAAAGTAGATGAGTTCATGCAGCTCTTTCTGCTTCTGTAAATAGAAAATCATCTTCCCAACTACCTTGAACCCCATGAAAAGGATAAAACTTCAGGTCATTAGTCCGTAGACTCAAGAAGAATATCAATAGTCATGATTCCATGAATAGTCTAAGATACAGTAGTTTCCTATTTTTGTGGGATCATAAAAAAAGTTAATGTATGACTATTGTTATTCTTCCTACACAAGCTTTTTCCTTAGATCCTACTAAGATTCTCAAAATTGTAGCTTTCATGCAATTTTCATTATGGTACGTTAAAGGGATAAAAATTTATCTCTTTTGCTAATGTTTTTGATTGATTCTTCTGTGGCCCCTAAGCAGAAACAGATCTGATAGATTCGATCATAATTTTATTTTTCTTGTAATTTTCAACTTGTTAAAGTGAAGCTTCTGAAAAAAGAAATTTCCAAAAGGCTGGGACAGGACGGAGAAGTGAAAGGCCTGAATACTAGTCTCTGAATAATTTAATCTTAAGTGATTACCTTTTGTTCCATTATATTAACTAGCATTCTCTGTTAAAACTTCTTCACACCTAAGATATAATTGATATATAATATTAACCTCCTAAATCCAGAAGTTTCTTCTGAATCATAAAAAAGAAAGATTACTAAGGATAATGATTATAATCATACCAACTGTCCTTGTACTGGTAGTATTTTATGGTTTTAAAATTGCTTTTATATATATTTTCTTACTTGACTCTCAAGAATTTTGTTATCATAATTTAATAACAATAGCTAGCATTATTATATACACTACAGTGTATCAGGTACTGTGAGATACTTTACATACATTATCTCAGATAATCCTTTTAGTAACCTTATGGGTCAGAAATTATTTCCAGATGTGAAAACTAATGCTTGCCAAACCTGTTGCCATAGAATCAATTTCAACCCATAGTGACCCTGTAGGACAGAGTAGAACTGCCCCATAGAGTTCCCAAGGACCAGCTGGTGGATTAAAACTACCGACCTTTTCCTTAGCAGCGGTAACGCTTAACCACTGCACCACCTGGGATTGTTAAACCAATGAGATTGGAATCCAGGAACTGTGGTTCCAAACTCAGTGTCCTGTTAATTAGATAATAGTTGCTGCAATGTGATTATGTTTGATAAATGACATATGGAAATACTCGGGAAATATATAAGTACCTAGCAAACCCTAATTTCCAGACCACAGAAGATAACAAATATTTACTGTATAAACATTGCCTATGTTTTCACATCTATCAGTGAACTAACCAAGTTTTTATTTCATTAATTTAGATGTACTGGAGAGTGCCAGGTCTGCCAGAATTTAGTCAGGTAAGACTTAGATAAATACTGTTTCTTTTGTTTTTTAAGCAAGGTCTTTAAACCTAATTGAGACAGGTTCTTTACATCTTGAGTGGACTCAACGAATGGGCTTGATTAATTCATCCTATTCACATTTTCAAGGGAAGTTTTAAAAAAGAAATGTGATTTTTTTTGGTTGGAGCATGTTATTTGAATGTAATGGATTGCTTGAATTACTGAGACATAAATGGCTATAAGCCTTTGGCAGAGCTTCTTCAAACGGAAACACTTGTAAAGCATTAAATTTTCATTGAATAGCTTATGTTCTGTTTGGGTATTGAATATGCTTCATGCACATACAATACTGTGTTAGAGCTATGACTTGCAAGTGATGTGAATGCATAGTGAACTTATGAGCAAAAATAATTTTGTAGTATAATACACATTTGAACAATAACTTGCCTTTTAAGCTATGTATTTGTATCTGCGTTTTACTTTTCTGTTTTTAAGGGGAGGGAAATGAAATTTCCTTAATTCTGATCATAGCCTGAAGTTTACATTATGGATTGAACAGGTGTTAAATGTATTTCTGTAAAAAATTTTCAGATTCCAAAGTTGAGCAATTCATGGGGAAAGGAAAGCATAATCCATAGATATGGGAAGAGAGGGATAGAGTTTCTGGGGGAAGAGGTTCCGCCTGGCTGATCTTTCTATTTTCCCCTCAAACTCTTTTTTCTTTCTTTTTAGTAATTATTTAAAAATTTGCTAAAATCTCAAGCAAAAATGAAAATCTATTGAAAAGAAGCGAAAGGCTTCATTTACTCCTCCTATTTGCTACCTTGTTCTCCAGAACCCGTTCCTGTCAAAATCTTTCTAATCCCATCATTTTAGAGATAACTAATGTGAACAAATACTGGAAAAGCCATCTATGTTTCACGTTATCTGGAATTAAGAAACTGTTGAAACTTGTATTTTTTGCACCTAGCTAGGACCTAGTTTTATTTTTTCAATTTGGAGAGCCTGATACAAGTTACTGAGCAGTGTTACTTCATGTTTGTCTGTTTATGACGCCATCTTTGTTATGTATCAAGTTCCCATCAGCCTATGGCTCTGTTTCCCAGCTTCCTTTTCAGTATCATTGATCTATTTCTCCACTTCTGCCAAACACCACCGTGTTTAATTAGTACGGCTTTATCATATATTTTGATAAGGCAAGTCCTCTATGCTTTAGTCTTCTTCTTAAAAAAAAAAATTGACTCATTCAGACACTTCTATATCCATGCGATTTTAAGAATTAGTTTGTCAAGTTCCCTGAAAAATCCTTTTGGAATCTTGGTGGTGATTTTATGAAATTTCTAAAATAATTTGGGAGAGAATTGGTATCTTTATAAATTCAAATCTCAGAATGAGCTTTTAGTTCTTGTTGTTGCTGTTAGCTGCTGTTGAGTCAGTCCTTGACTCATGGCAACCCTGGACCATTGTGAGCCATAGGATTTTTCATTGGTTGATTTTTTAGAAGTAGATCAGCAAGCCTTTCTTCCTAATCTGTTTTAGACTAGAAGCTCTTCTGAAACCTGCTCAGCATCATAGTACATGTAAGCCTCCACTGATAGAATGGTGGTATCTGTGCTTGAGGTGCATTGGCTGGGAATTGAAACTGGGTTTCCCACATGGAAGGTGAGAGTTCTATCACAGAACCACCGCTGACCTCTAAGTATTTGTTACAGATGTATAATTGGGGACTTTTGAAAGTTGTAACTAAAGCGATGAACATGGCATTTTTTTTTTTTACATTTGTGAGTGATCTATTCTTTCTATGTGGTTACCTTGTCACAATTTAATGAACTGGTGAAAAAAAAGAAAGAAACTATATTGATTCACATCAAGTGTATTGGACTAGAAAAGTAGTTAGAACAAAGTAAGTTCAAACTGAACAACAGTCCTATCAAAGAGTAGTGAGTTATCTCTCCAGGTGTGGATTGTGGTTGCCTCAACGTACGTTTTGTTTAGAAGAGGCCACAGCAAGATGAATATTATTTGCCTTCATTTTATGAATAGGTGCCTTTTCATTTTGAAGAGTGACTCTCACACTAAAAGTTGATCCGATTACACGTTTCCCGTTAGTAGATCTTGACTCTGGTATTCTGTATATTGAGGATTACTTTTCCTCCCTTTGAGGTTAAGATCCCTTCCATTATGCAACCCCAGTATAGTCCTCCATATTCTAAATTCCTGTTTTCTCTTCATCCTATTTTCTTGAGTATTAGGATCCTATAATTTGAACATGTTTTTATGTTACTTTTTACACACTCTGAGGTTTTTGTCACCTGTGTTTGTTCTGTCTCTTCAAAGAGATTGTGAACTACAGAATCTTCTGTCTCCCCTGTAACTTCTTCCTGTGTGCTGTCTGTAGTGGCTACTCGTAAGTATCACTGATCTACTGATCAACTCTTTCAGGAGTGCGTCCTGGACATTTTCCAAGTTACATAATGAAAGGGAAAGAGAGGACATTAGAAACCACTTTGTTTTCCGGTATGAACTTCAGTGATGAATTTTAAAGTAAGGGTTAGATAGACCTAGCTAGAATTTATAAAACTGAGGATGTTTTTCCTTCTACATTTTCAAGCATTTTTATAAAATGCATACATTACTTTTATAACAAGAAAAATATTAAAACATATTATTTTAAGACATTAATTTGAATTCAATACTACCCAAGGCAAAGGGCACCTAAACCAATGTCATTTTTGGATTTAAGGGTTGTAAGTCACTTTGAGCCTCTGATTAAAGTTAAGAAGTCTATCCCAAGAAAATATATATTCAAATTTCTAAGCTTGTTCTTTAAACGACATGCTGGTCCACAGTCCCCCATCTGTATAGTAATGCCTACAAAGCCTTGCCTGGAAGAGTCAATATTCCTCTTGACAATTCTTCAGTTGAAATACTGGATTGTGTTTTCTAATGAATTCTATGGACTATGCAAGGATCATTACACATTAGTAAATATAATGTTTAGCTTTTATTTTTTTAAATCTGTTTGCCTGATGGTAAACATATCAAATGAGAAATAAAGGCAAGGAAATCCAGAAAAGGACCAGAGTTTTTTTCTAAAAAGTTCCAAAGAGGCAATAGACTCAAATACATTTGAGTACATGGTTGAGAAATGTGGCTGGCTATAGCACAGTGGATTGTAGCTGACAAGCAGAGGTACCAGAAGACAACAGCTTACGTGCACGCAGGCTAGACCATAAGCAAGAGAGCAATTGCCATCTAGGAAGCAATGTGGCGTAGCATAGGGACACTGGACTGGCACAACAATGGCATAACACCACGCGAATCTCCATTTCCTGAACTGTATGGTTGTTAGGTGCTGTTTCGACTCATGTGACCGCATGTGACAGAGCAGAACTGCCTCATAACGTTTTCTCATCTGTAATATTTATGGGAGCAGGTTGCCAGATCTTCTGTAGAGCCACTGGGTGGGTTCAAACTGCCAACCTTCTGTTTAGCAGTTGAGTGCTTAACCGTCGTGCCACCAGGCCCCTTTCCTCAACTGTAGAAAATAAAATTTAATATCCAGACAGCTAACCAGAGCATGGATCTGCTGATTAATCAAGCTGAGATGAAGGTCACAAGTAAGTACCGTACTCTATCATTTATAATCAATGACAATTTTTATCTTTTTCTTGATATTCATTTTAAAGAGATTAAGAACTCTACTGATGTCAAATTGTTTTCTTCGAGGGGCTCTTTTTGCTCATCTAAATTATAACCCTTAACCTCAATATTAGTATTTCTGTCAAATTTTATTCAGCATGTTTTAGATAATGCTTAATTCATAAAACGTGACATGAGTAGAGAATAGCGATATTTCATAAAAATACGAATTAGAAATCTCCATTGATTAAAAACCACTGAAGATAGAATTAAACTTTATTGATTTGTCTGTCTGTCCCTCTGTCTGTCCGTCCATCCATCCATCCATCCATCCGTCTATCCCATTTTTGTTTCATGCACTTAGTTTCACATATTGTAAAAGCTACTTCGAAGCCCTGGTGTTTGAGACGGCCATTCACTAGTCTCTCCTTCACAGTAGCTTATTAAAATTGCTTCTGATAATTTCTAAATTTGAAAGCAATTTAAAATTATATCTCTACTCAAGCTTATAGTGTATGTGAAGGTGTTGAAAACTCAGTAAACTGTAAATCACCACATCGGTATTCGTTGTTGTTGTTGTTATATTGAAATTATGACTACTTAAGAGTATATCCTGGTCAACAGTTCAGAAAAGCAGGGTGAGAATGGATGCATAACTCAAAGAATGTAATCAGTGTCACTGAATTATACATACAGAAATTGTTGAACTGGTGTATGTTTTGCTGCGTATATTCTCAACAACAACAACAAAAGAATATATCCTGGTCAGTTTGGTTGGATTTGAGGCATTCTCTGGCCTTTCTTTTTTGATTGCCGCTAAGGAGGACTTTGATGTTTTCAGCCCCAAGTTTATGAAACACCTTGCATGGTGAACCAGTATCAGTAATTATGTGTTGATTCTGTCTGGTTTTACTGATTTCAGTTTTACCCTCCAGAACTTTTGCTGGACTACACACAGACTCTCAGAATTCTCTATCAACATATTCTCTAGAATACTGGTATCCAAATTGGAATGAATAAAGGAGTTCAAAAAACAATCCACTGGGTTCCTGGAAGAGAAGTTAGAATTTCTATTTGTTTATTTATTTTGAGCCCTGGTGGCGTAGTGGTTAAGAGCTTGGCTGCTAACTAAAAGGTCAGCAGTTCAAATCCGCCAGCTGCTCCTCGAAAACTCTATAGGCCAGTTCTACTGTGTCCTATAGAGTTGCTATGAGTTGGAACCAACTCAACAGCCCCTAACAACAACAACAACATTTAATTTTTATCTAAAAAATAATTAAAATTTAACTAGTATATTTTTTAATTTCACATGGTTCAATGATCAGAAAATATAGAAAAGTGTATAGTGAAAAAATTTCCCTCCCACTCATGCC